AGTAGCATCGATGCTGCGGTTGCTGCGGCTGTACACTGCTGCTGCTGCTGCTGCTGCCCTCCCAGGGGAGCTGAGCTCACTGCTGGCTGAGCCTTGCTCAGCCGTTTTGTGTCTAAGTACAGAAAAAAGCAAAATGGAAAAGATCAAAACCGAAAAGAGCAAGAAGGACAGGGGGACGTGCGCCTTTGTTGCAGCAGCAGAGGACGCCCAGCTGCTGAAGCTGCTGCTGCCGCACCTCGCGTTGCTGTTGCAGCAGACAAACGAGCACCTCAAGCCCTTAAAGCACAAGCTGACATTTCAAATCAGCAGCAGCAGCGGCAGCGGTGAAGGGCTGGACAGCAGCAGCTCCTCTCTATCGCTGACGAGCAGCACGCGGCTACCTCACTCTCAGCAGCAGCAGTTGCTGCTGCTACAGCTGGTGCCGCCCATGCAGCAGCAGCATAGCCCGGGGGCCCTGTGGGGCCTCACGCACAAAGTTGCTGCTGTGGAGTCAGCTCAGCAGCTGCTACAAGCTCTACATGTCCAGCTGATTTTGCATGGGCTGCAGCAGGAGCAGCAGAAACAGCAGCAGCAGCATGGGCGGCAAAGCTCCCAGCAGCAGCAGCAGCAGGAGCAGCAGCAGCAACAGCAGGTTGGTGTTGGTTGCAATGCGGGCTTGTTATCATCTTTGTCCTTTGAACAGCAGCAGCAAATAGTCAATACAATTAGAGATACGGAGATGGCGGTTAGCGAGTTGCGGGCTCTAGTGTATAGACACCTCGCGTCTCTCCTGTGCAACAGCAGCGCCTTCATGGACGCAGTCGCTGCTGCTGCCAAAGAAACAGCAGCAGCAGACTGGGGCCCTCCGGCTGTAGCAGGAGGAGCAGCAGCAGCAGTGCCTGCTGCCTTTGCTGCGGCGGCACAGCAGCAGCAGCGGCAGCTGCGGGACCTGTACTGGAAGCTGCGCTGCGCTGGTGGCGGCAGCATCCCGCAGCAGCAACAGCAGCAGCTGTGGGCTAGCATAGTGAGTCAATGCGTGGCAGATGCAGCAGCAGCATTCGCCGCTGCACCCCTGCCTGTAGATACACTCGACAACTGCTTCTGTGCTGCTCCGTTGGTGGCTCTTGCCGAGTCTCTCAAAGATATCATTAGAGAAGCAAGCGCGCAGCACGCCAGAGCAGCAGCAGCAGCAGCAGCTGCTGCTGCGGGAGAAGGAGCAGCAGCAGCAACCGCAGAAGCGCCTGCCTCCCGGCGCCCGTCGGAGCACGGGCCGCACGCATACCCAGCGAACCCAGCTAGGACTGACTCAGCAGCAGCAGCAGCAGCAGCAGCAGCAGCGGACCCTCTGTCGTTGGAGGCTGCAGCTTTCGACTCTCTGGTTGACATATGCTCTCGGCCAGCGCAGGAGCAGCTGCGGTGGTGCCGCGAGCAGCGGGAGAGGCGCAGCGCTTTCTCTCAGCAAAGGCAAATGAACTGCAGCGAAATATTCAACAATATGAATAACAGTCCACGAAGCAGCAACGCGAGCGGCGGCTCGGGGCAGCTGCTGCTTGCCCAGCAGATCGAGCGGCAGCTGCTGCAGCGGCTGCAGCAGCTGACAGACAGATGAGGCAGCACAAACTCTTTGCGATGACTTATGTGCATCTCCTATTTTATCTTGCGTGGACCCTTTTTGTTGGCTCCGCTCCCGTTTTTCAACTCGACCCATTCGTTCAGTATCTTTTGCTTCCGTTGCTGCTGCTGCTGCTGCTGCTGCTTTCTGCAGCACTGTGTACCTCTAAAGGTTTACTGAGAGAGCAGTGGCGCGCTGCAGCGGCGCCAGCCAAATAAAAGAACAACTAGGTAGATGGATTGGAGCAACGTGAACAGAGAGCATCTCACGGCGAGCCATTCAAAGGCATAAGCAGGAGCAGCAACTAGGTCAGCAGCAGCAGCTAGATCAGCAGCAGCGAAACTAAAGCGCAGCAAACGCTATAAGAGCGGGACTAACGGACGAGGCGCACCCGTCCAGTGTTTTTTAAACAAGAGTAAAGCTGCTTTAAGGGGAGCAAGAAACGCGTGGCATTTCGTGATTGAAAGATCTGTTTTGCCCTCTCTCCTCCACACCACAAAACGACAACAAGGCGCAGCAGCGCAGCGCCGCCCTTGCTGCTGCTGCTGCAGTTCTCGCTGCCGCTGCAGCAAGCAGGCTGCTGCAGCTGCAGCTCGCGGCGCCACCGCCGCTGCAGGCCGGCGCGCAGCCGACGCTGCAGCTCGCGCGGGCCGCGCTCATCTGTGCCTCCGGAGCTGCAGCATCTGGCGCCTCTTCCAGTTGGCCCGCACGCTGGGCATGCGTTTGCTGTTCTTGGCGCCCCTGCAGTTGAGGCCCCTGGACTTCCTGCCGGCGGCAGTGAGGCCCCTGAGCTCGCGGTGCTTCATGGTGCTCTTGCAGAGGTACTTGTAGCGCGGGCAGTTGCGGATGGCTGCGTGGTTGGGGTCGACGAGAATGACTTCGTAGTACTTGTAGACGGCGTCCTGGCCCACCCAGTAGCTGTTCAGGCACCGCAGGTTGCCGCACACGCTGCGGCTCACCCGCCGCTCCGCCACTTCCCGCAGATTCATCTTCGCCTTCTGCTTCCGCACGCCCTGGTTCGTGGGTTTTCCGTAGACAATGCCCTTCGCCACCATCCGCTTCCGGTCTCCGCGGCGCACCCGCACGCGGTAGATCACGAAGCCCTGCTTCTTCTTGTAGCCCAGCCGCCGCGCCTGCGCCGCCCGCACACCACGCCCTTCTTGCACGGAATGCAGCGCCAAAAGGGCAAATAACCCGGCCCGGAACAACCAAATGCAAAAACAAAACACAACTTAAACTAAAAAGAACAAAACTCCAAAGTTCCCTGCCCAGTCCACGCACTCCCGGCGCTGTTCAACTTATTCAAGTGCAGTCTGCACCGCAGACTGCAGCGCCGTGCATGCGAAAGCGCCAGGAAACGCGTAGTTTTAGCCAATCTAAACTGGGAATCCACCTGAAATATATTATTGCTCAATTTATTGTTTATTTTCAACATTTATTCTCTTGTTTTGCTGCTCCCAATCACCTTGTCAGGCCTCGTCGGCCGGCTGCACCTATGCACGGCTGGCAGCTGGCGGTACTCCCACGTGCGCACACGCAGCAGAAAGCGCAGCACATCTGACTGCTTTCTCTTCCAGAGCTCTTCCAAGTACCTAAAAAGAAATCAAACAAATAACCCAATTCAAAAACAAAATAATGAATTGATTCGGAGACAAACATGTGGCTCACTTCGCACACGACAGCTCTCTTGCAGCCGAACAAAAAATTCAACTAGTACGTAATTCACCGAATTCATAAACGGAGAAAAGAATATTCCATAAATAAACAAACAAAATACAAGTAAGAAGACTAAAAAACAAATGGAATAAGTGCCAGGAGAAGAAAGAAAGAGAAAACTGAATATATGACGCGACAGAAGAACTCAGCAAAGCTGCCTCCCCATGAGCACCATTTGCCGCGGCCGCCCACAAAGGCACTCGGCGTTTCACAGCTGCAAATATGTAGCACTCTTTGGGGCCTTTTCCGCACGAGACTCTTAAGAAAAGGAAATAAATAAAAAGCAAATAGATAGAAGGGGAGAGTGGCTGGTGCGTCGATGCATGCAGAAGCGAACTGCGTTCGTCCGTGATTAGAAGGCTTTGCCTTGAGAAAAGGGAATCAAGAAAGAATTAAAAGGAAAGATATAAAGGGGAAAGAACAGCAGCAAATGCTGCTGCATGCAAACAGCCAACGTGTCTGCCTATTGGCTGCTGCCGGGCCCCTGCAGGCCCATGGGGAAGGTGGGTTGAGCAGCAAGCGCTCTCAATTGCACAGCTGAATTTAAAAATTAAAAAATAAGCAGATGTGGAAGACAAACACGCTGCAGGCAGCTGCTGCTGTTGCTGCATGCGTGGGGAGTAGCGGGGTGCTGCTGCTCCTCCTGCAGCAGTGGGGTGTAGAGGCAGCAGCGCCGCCGGGAAAGCAAAGATGGGAGAGAAGAAAATAAAACAGATGGAGTAAAATGTAGGGTCACGAAAAATCTGCATTGCGAAATAAACGGGACACGAACAGAAGCAAAAAACTCACTTGTAGGCCCCCATCTTCCCGGAATCGAATGCAGCAGCGGCAGCGGCAGCAGCAGCCGGAAACACCAAAGAAATAAATATCTTAGGTGTATGGACACCTGCCAATCCAAATTTGTCCAAGCAAATCCAACAACCAACGCGCGCCGCCCACTGCAGTAGCAGCAGCAGCGGCTGCTGCTGCTGCTGCTGCTGCAGCAGCAGCCCCACGCTACTGCCTCAGCCCCAAGACCTTAACTAGGGCGGCTACAGCAATTCGATGCATTAAATTAAACTAGTCGATTTAATTTTACTCAGTTAAATCCACCTTTTCTGACTGCCGCTTATGCGGCATTATGAGCAACAATTGCAGTGGCTGCAGTTGCAGCAGCTGCAGCAGCTGCAGCAGTAAGTCTAAGACGAACAGCAGCTAGCGTGTGCTTCTTCTCCTGCGCGGGACTTTCTGTCGTGTGTGTTCATCTTGGAAGACAAATAATTAATTGAGAAAGTATTATTTCATGTTTTTTTGAATTCATTTTATCTTGGCTGTATGCGCACCGCTGCTCAACAGTGGCAGCTGCCCGCAGCATTTGAAGGGCGGCGGCGGGGCCCTCTGCCCCTTTACTCCCTTCTTTTTGATATTTAAATAAATAATTTTTGAGTTTTCTGCTGCCTCACAAGAAAGAGCAGCAGCTGCAGAGGCAGGGACAAGCTGGCGGCTGCTGTAGCGAGGCGACAAGCAGCAGCTGCTTCACAATAGCTCCTGCAGCAGCAACCCATGAGATAACAGCAGCGGCAGCAGCAGCAACAAAGGTATCCCCCGGTTCAGGAACAAGACCATCAGCAACAAGAGCAGCTGCAACAGCAGCAGCAGCAGCAACAGCAACGGCAGCAGCTTTGTGTCTTCAATTGATTCGCAGTCCGTCAAAATGGCGAACGCAGAGCAGCAGCAAACTCAGAAGAAGAAGAAGAAGCAAACAGAACAACGAGCAGGAAGGCCAACTCAGGAGGAAGTTAAACAAATTAAAAAAGATGAAAAAGGACAAACAAATGGAGAAGCAAATAAGGAAAGTGTCTTGCTAGCCAAAGCCAAAAGAAAAGAGGCACAGACGAAGAAAAGACAAAGAGAACAAGCAGCAGCAGCAGCAGCAGTAGAAGCAGAAGCAGAGTCTGAGGCGGGAGAGTGCGACAGCAACCAACCCACCAAAGGCAGCAACAAAGACAAAGGCAGCAGCAACAGCAGCAGCAGCAGCAAAAGCAAGAGCAGCAGCCACAGCAACAACAGCAGCAGCAGCGACGATGAAAGCAACAGTGGAAGCTCTGAGCTTCAGTTCGTTGGCGGGGATGACCGTGATTCAGAAGACGTAAACCCCAAACCCTAAACCCTACACCCTAACTCCCGAGCCCCTAAACCCTAAACCCTAACTCCCAAAACCCTAAACCCTAAACCCCAACTCGTGAAACCGTGAGTCTGAGACAACCAGAGCTTCTGCCTGTTGTTGTCGAAACTGCACACTAACAAGGCCAGCTCGGGTTTAGGCTTTAGAGTTCAGGGTCTAGGGTTTAGGGTTTGGGGTTTAGGGTTTAGACACATAGTCACTTGTACTATGTGCCTAATCCCTAAACCCTGGATTCTTTCGGGTGCACGCTGCTAGTATATGGGCCCAGGGAAATGAGTCCTATTCGATGCAGATCAGACGAAATCCAAACAAAATGGAATAAAATTTGAATTTAAAATACCAAATAATGAATAATTAAATTAAAAAGTTGGAAATTAAACAAATAAAGTTAATGTTGGGGCGAGAGCCGCCTGAGTTTACTTCAGTTTGTTGAACTCGCTCTTCTGAACAGCCAATAGAGCTCCATTCGTTTGCGCATTTCTGCAATTAGGGTTTAGGACTTTTAATTTAATTGAATATATTTGTCAATTAAGTAGAATTTTTTTGTTTTAGGCTGCATATAATTCAATCATTCTGCATTTGTTTGCATTTGTGTGAAGTCTTTATTTTTTCTGGATTCTTTTGCATTTGCCTTTACTTCTCGCCTCAGGACTCTGACGGCGAACTCAGCGCCTCTTTCGAGCTGTTCGACCCTAAAGAAACGGACGAGCCGCTGCTGCTGCTGCTGCTGAAGCAAAGTCGCGTGTATGGGCAGCTGCAGCTGCAGCAGCAACAGCTCAAGCCCTTGGCGCATGCAGTGGCTAACCAGGTTAGTCGAAACCCAATTGGTATATTTTTTTATTTCAGCATTTCTGTACGAATTTGTTTTGGTTTAGATCTGTTTGCCGGCACCTCACTAGTCACTTGTCGCTGCTTGTGTCCAGCTGTAAGCTAATTCATGTTTCCTAGTTTCAGTTTCATTTGCTTCTTCTCGATTTGTTTCTCCTTTATTTGCGCGTCAGTTGATCATTTACCGTTTGTAAATTAATATATTCGTATATTTATTCATTTATTTATTTGTCATTTATTTGCAATCTGCTGTTCCCAGGGAAACATTGGCAGCATCATCCGCATAGCAGAAGACGGAAACACGGGAACAGCCGTTGGCTTCGTTTCTTTACTTTCGCTGCAGCAGCACACTCCGGCAACAGATCCGATCTTAACGAAAGTGCTGCAGCTGGCGAAGTGAGCAAGTTCAAGTTCAGCTGCTGCAGCAGCCCACGTACACCCAGCTGCCGTTGCTGCTGCTGCTGCAAGTTCAGATTCAGTTACTGCGGCTGCAGACTGACGGCTGCTAGTTCAGCTTCAACAGCTGCAGCAGCACTCCAGATAGAACAGCTGTAGCAGCAGTTGACGCTGAACTGCTGCTGCTGCTGCTGCCAACTCACGCTCAGCTACTGCAACCCCAAATTCATATCGGCGAGTGTCTGTGGCCATTCTAATCACTAATTGCAATATCAACGTGTTGGTTTATTTATTTAAAGTTCAATCTCTTCTGTGTCGCAGGTCGAATGCGCCACAAAGCACAGAAAATGAAATAAGTGAGGCGAATAATTAATTTGTCTTGAGAAGTTAATTGGCAGTTCGATGAGCGACTGATTAGCTATTAATTGTTTTTTTTTGAGAAGTTTGTGAATTCATTCAATTAAGTTTGTCGACTGCTTGGTGAAATCAGTCAGGCGATTCAATTAGTTTGTCCAACTTCGTGCTATTTTGGCGGCGACAAGTTTTTGAGTTCTTCGGAATCTTCTTCAAGATGGCTTTCAATTTGTTTGAAATTTTTTCTGTTTATTATAAGTTATGTCTTTTTGCATTCCCCCCAATATGTCTGCCTATGGGCACGGCCACTCGCTCTGCAGCAGATGTTACTATGCGTCTTTTCCTTGCTGCAGGAAAGTTGCTTACCCCCTGCATCAGCAGCAGCAGCAGCAGCAAAGGCAGCAGCAGCAGCAGCAACAATCCCTGCGTGCTGATTTGCGGGAGATACCGCAACTTGCCGCTCGAAATCGTTGCAGAGTCTTATTTGTCTTTGCTCGAAGACGTGAAGTGGTCGCTGCAGACAGAAGAAATGGACGAAGCTGAAAGAAAGTTTTACAAGTTTTCTCACGTGCTGGGCGTGGCTCTGTGAGTGGCAGCTTTCCTGTAATTCAGTCTAGCTCTTCATTTGCGCGTTTGCCTGCATAATGTGCATATATTTTCTACACTTTAAATTCATAAATGTGTAACTAAGCACCAGCTGACCGCCATTGTGTTTAGTTGCTTCTTATTTACTGTCTCTCATTACCACTTGTTCATTTCTCCTTTGTTAAGTTCTGTGCTGTTTCTTGCTTGCAACTTCTCTGTTGGTTGTTGCGTCTTGTTCCTGAGTGCTGCCTGCATCTTTGACTCTTATCTCTCAGCCATTTGTTGTTTTGCTTCTCTTCCTTCCAATTTTGTAACTGTAAAAGTTTTCCTCATGAATTACTTGTCGAGTGTTTCCCTTACCAGTTGTTCACGCTGGTTGCTTTCTCCCCGGCTCCATTGTTATTTCATCCTTTTACCTCCTAAAGTTTTGTCCTTTCACTGCCTCTAGTTGTTTAATTAGCTTGAGAGCCTGTACACTTATTTTGTTTAACTTGTCAATTTATTGTCCAACCCTTACTTGTACTTTTGGAGCAGAATTCCCACTTAGCTGTTTAAGGTGGACATCATCATCTTGATAAATTTAGTAATTAATGTACAGTTCTACTTGTTATGCTTTGTTTGTTTGTTGGCAGAGTGTACAAGGAGAAAGGAGAACAAAAGCAAAAGGCTAAAAAGCAAAAAACAGAAAACGGCGCAGGTTGGCAGCACGGCAGTTGGGTGTCTTAATTCATTCATGAACTTTTCACATTTTGTGTGTTAAATGCTTGGGCGTTATAAATTGTATTTATTTTTCATCCCTTCACAATTTACCGGACACTATTCTGATGCGTCAATTTTAATTCCTTTTCCAGCGTATCTTCCCATGTAATACCCTTCTTAGTGCTTCTTTTCTTTTTATTTCAACTTCTGATTGTACCTTAAGTTCTTGCTTTTTCCATATCTTAGCCCCTTTTGCTCATGTGTTTGCTTGTTCTTCTGATCACCAACGAATTGCAAAGCCAACCAGTCTTCACGTCAACGAATCGTTAATTTGTTAATTTGTTTATATACTGTTAATTTTGTTTATTTCTCTATTTGGCTATTCCTCAAAAATGGCAGGCCGTTCTAACTACATCTTTGCGGAAATGGAACATCAAATTTTATCCGAGGGATCCGAGCTCACGTTCGCTGCGCCGACAAACCAAACAGTAAACTAAATAGACAAAAGCATTAATTAATGTAATAAACAAAGCAAATATATTAAGTGACTCATGTAGGTAACCAAGTAGATGCTCGTCTTCCCCGTACTGCGTCACTTGTCTTTGGTATTTAATTACTTCTTCTTTGGTTTTGCTTCTGCGCTTCGCAGGTGCGCTTTAGCACTTTACCCGACAGCAGCAGCAGCAGCAGCAGTGCTAAGTCTGTTGTGCAGACTCTGCAGGAATTCATTTTTATTTATGTTCTGCCCTATGAAAAGTTTGTGGCAAACCAGAAGCAAATCAAGCAAAAAATGATCATGCTGCAGCAGTAATCAGTGAATATATGGCTACTAGGTCCATCCACACCCTCTTCACTTGCGTACTTGGCAATTAAACAGATATGGAGAAGTTTTGTTCTCCTTACTTGATTTCATTTTGGCTTTCCATCCTTTTTCTCCCAATTCTCGTTTTTGAACTCCCCCTCTACGAAGTCATTCAGCGTTTAGACTTTAGTGGCAGGCAAGTGAAGGATATTTGCAAAAGTGGACAAGAAAAGAACAAAAGTGTAGTACAAGTCCGAACCTGCAGCTGTAGCTGCGCACCCCCGGCATGCAGTCGGCAAGCTGGCCTTTTCCCGCGCCCCTATATAAGTATATATACGTACATATGCATATATATATATATAGAAGCATATATATGTATATATATATATTAAAGAAGTATATATATATATATATATATGTGTGTGTGTATACATATATATATATATATATGTGTATATAAATTTATATTTTGTAGTGTATTGCAAATGCCAATGCAGATACAGAGATTGCCAGATCAGCCGAGGGCGAAGGGGCTGGTTTCTTGCTGGACTTCGTTGTTCACGCGGGCCAGCAAGAGCGACAAGTTGTCTCGAGAGCCCCGGCTGTAGGCCACTTGCAGAATCTCTTTGACAGTTTTCAGCAAATCGAAGTTCGTCTTTTTTAGCTGCTGCCGCACCAAGTTGTCCAGGTCCGCGTCGACAGTTTCGAACACTCCTGCCGCCGCAGCAGCAGCACAAGTTACAGCTGTTTGTTTGCTGCTGCCTCCTCTTTTGAACCACCAACGGTCTATTATTTAATTCTAAATTGCTATTTAGCGGCTTTTTCTGCTGCAGGAAGCAGCAGAGAGCGCCGCAGCGATATCCGCACTGCTGCAGACTGCGTAGGCAGGGGGGGAAGGCTAGCTAAAAGCTAGCTTGCAGCTAGCCGGGACTGGCCGCCGCACAGGGCTGCAGGAAAGCTGCAGCTATTAGCTAGCTAGCTAGCTAAACTTCGAGGAAAATAGAAGAGACTGCCATGGCTCACCGTCACAAGCAATTAGAATCACAAAGGAAGGCGATATGAACTCCTCGAGCTGCCCCGGCAGCGCCACCACCGGCTGCTCGTACGGCGGGCGAGCCGAATAGTCCTTGAGGAACTGCGGGTGCAAACAGAGCTTTCTTGAGGGCCCCAGATGCATACAAATGCATTTAAACACTTTCGAGGGATTTATTTGAACACTTTCAGCAAAATTAGCCTTCAAATGAGCACCAGGGACTCGCTAACGGCCCGCGCAGCAAGCAGAAAGCTGAGGAAGCTGATCCCAGCTTTCTGCTGTCTGGCTCTGCCTTCTAAAGCCCCACTGCATCAGTGCTGCTGCTTCTTTTAAGCCCTTATCATCTTAGCGTTAAATAAATAATGAAAGCTTTGATGTATCCTTAGCATCTTAGCATTAAATAAACAGTGAAAACTGTGATTTGTCGGAGGGAGAAACGTAGCTAAGCATGCAGTTTCTTACGCTGTCACCAAAAGCCCGAGACACGTTCAGAATGCCGTTAACGCGGTAAACATTATGCACTGCGTAGACGCGCCCGCCACTGAGTTCAATTCTGTGTTTTTCTTCTTCTCTTTCTGGCTTATGATCTTCAGTGAGGTAAAATGAACGGTCGCTGGACAAGTCAATTGCCTTAATGCGGGAATCTCCTGCGATGCACGCGAAAGCGGAGGTTTATTAAATTGAACATTTTACTTTTAATATGTTTCCCCATTTTTAATGTATTTCCCCATTTTTAATGTATTTCCCCACTTTCCCCACCAAGGCAGACAGCCTTCGCCCGCCCCACCACTCATTCACTACTTCAGCTGCCAGTGAAAAGTGAATTCTTCAATTACTTGCCCGCTCTTCAACGCGAAGCATAAACTCCGTTTCAAGTTTAATTAAAAGCACAGCCAGGCGAAACAAGTTGCACTAAGCTGCACGGTAGCATCTTGATAAAATATAATATATTTCATCCAGTTGAATATTCAACTGTTAGCTTGTTCGCTACATAGAAGTGTGTTCAGCTGCAGATCTTCTGCGCAGTTTATTGAAAATATAATTCTTCAAATGTTCTTAAAAATAACTTGTTATTTATTCGCTTTTTGTTTCCGCCGAAGAAACTGATGCAGCCAAAGGAGGTGCTTTTGCTGCAGATAGAGCAGGTGAGTCAAAGCCCGGAATGAATTGGCAAACAGAAGAATGCAATTAAATATTAAATTAAAAATTTTATTTCAAATTAATAAAATAATTTTCAAAGAAGAATCAAATAAATAGTGACATCGCTGCTCGCGGCCTACCGACGAAAACAGAATGCAGCCTGAAGCTTCGCTCCTGCAGGATATCCTTTTCGACAAATAACATTGCGGCTGAAAGAGAAAAAAACAAATAAAGTAACTGACAAGTTGAAGCAAAAAATAAATACATAATTTCAGTGGCAGATTAAAATAGTTGCGCTAGCATCTGGCACTTTCCACTTCGTAATGCTGGTGCTACTTCTGCTGCTGCGTCTGCTTCTTCTGCCAGTGCTGCTGCTTCTTCATCTACTGCTGCTGGCCCCTGCATTCTGATGCAGTTGCCACTGCTGCGGCTGTTGCTGCTGTTGCTGCAGGTGCTGCTGTTGCTGCTGTTGCTGCTGCTGCTGCTGTTGCTGCTGCTGCTGAAGCGTGCCCTCGATGCCTCTCGATGTGCTCACCTGTGGATCCCGATCTCTTACAAATGTTCTTTTTAATTATTGTTTTGTCCATTGCGACGCAAACTTCAGAGATCTTTCCCTCGTCGTATTCCAGAGGAATATCGGCGGACACTTCCAGTGCTGCAGCTGCAGCAGCAGCAAAAGCAAGCAGTCGCAGCGCAAAAAGCAGCAGAAATAGCAGCAAAAAGTGCAGCAAAAGCAGCAGGAGCAACGGTGGCAGAAGCAGCAGTGGCATGTCGACAATGCGCACAGAACACTGCTACTCGTGCTACCTGCGTCGCTGCTGCCACCGCTGCTGCTGCTGCTGCTGCTGCTGCTGTTACTGCTGCTGCTACTTAAAATAGAGCATGAAGCTGCAAACGCGAATCAAGACAGGCAAAAATAGAGCAAAATAGAAGGGGCCGACGCAGTGCAGCAGCAGGCATTTGAGCAGCTAAGAAGAAACAATGGACTTCAAAAACGAGAATGAAGCAGCAAAAAAGAAAATAAGATATTCAAATGTGCTGCAACACAGACACCTAACACTTTGCCTCTGGGCTTTTGTTGTTGGCTGGGGGGAAAAGCTACAGGGGGGCAAAAAAGGCCTTTTGCTGCTTAACTGAATTAGCAAAAGGCACTGAGTGGGCAGTGCAGCAGCAGCAACAGCAACAGCAGCAGCAACATCAGCAGCAACATCAGCAGCAACAGCAGCAGCAACATCAGCAGCAGCAGCAGCAGGAACATCAGCAGCAGCAGCAGCAGCAGCAGCAACATCAGCAGCAGCAGCAGCAGCAGCAGCACTGGGTGGTGCCTCACCGAATTCCTTGTGGGCATTTTGCTTTAAATATTTGGCAGTTTGAGATCCGCCGTGGCCGTCGAAGAGTCCCATGAAGTAAGTGTTGCTGTTGAGTTGTTCAAGAGTTGTTATTTCCTGAATTTCACTCCATTTGGTCCATTTTTTGATGTTTAAAAAGCATTTTTAATCCATTTTAAGACAGATATACCTGCTGCATTGGGCTTTATTGTTAAAAAAGCATTTAAAAGTATTTAAAAGCACTTTAAAGTATTTTAAATCAATTTAGGATCTTTTTTGTAATTCAAAAACCCAAAAATGAGCACCTCCCGCTCCCTAGCTGTGGCACTGGGTGCTGCTAGCGTTGTCTCGTGTCAGCTTTGATTAATCAATTAGTTAATTAGCTAATTAATTAATTAATTAATTAATTAATTAATTAATTGATTAATTAATTAAGTCCTTACGTCTTCGTCTGTGGGTCTTCTTCCCCTCATGGTCCCGGAGACTGCCTGCACATGTCCGGCGCTCTTTTCCTCGAAGTTAATTTTGGTTTCATCTTTATTTTCAAACTTTTGTGTTTTTTGGAGTTCTTCTTCGATTGCTTCTCCCCCTTGCTGTCCATAGCTTTCCCCAGCCTCTGGAAACCCTTCAGAGTATTCAATAACTGCAGGTTTTGCCTCATTTGCGTCGAGTTCAAGTTCGGGTGTCTCTACAGCATCGGGGCTGTCTGCGTCCTGCGTTTCTGCGCCTTCGGGTGTATCTACACCTTCGGGGGGGTAAGCAGCAGCCCCAGGCGAGGCTGCGGCGCCAGCGGCCAGGGAAAAGTCAGAAGATGAATTCAAACGAAAAGAATTCGAAGAATAGAAGTTAGAAACCAAACAATAAACAAAAAGAACGAAAAACAAAGAAGAACTCGAAACCCGAACAGCCGCGCGGCGCTGCCCGAACCTGAAAGCCCCCGCCATCCCGGCGAGCCACTGGAGCTCTGATCTGTAGCCTTTTCCAGATATTTAAAGTTATTAATTATTCATTTCTAATTTATTTCCAATTTTTGAGATATTTGCAGACGAATTCGACTTCCCCCGCGGGAACTGCCCTGGTCACCTGCCCTCCGCGTTTCGGGGTGAGAGGCTGCCGGCACACGGGGAGCTGCGCAGTGCGATTTATATGAATTTAAATTTAAAAGAAAAGACAAATTAATTTTTAAAATTTGTTTTCGTTTCTTTCAAAGAGTTTGTTTGCAAAAAAGTCGCAACAGACCCAGTGGTCAGTGCCACCTGTCGGCGGCCCACCGCGTTCGGGGCTGCAGACGAACCACTGGCTCACTTTCGCTGCATTAAAGCGAAATAAAGCATTTTTGAACAACTTTAAATGACTTAAAATAATTAAAATATCTCAAATTGATTAAAATCAAAGTGGAGTCCTTTTGAAAAGGACTGCATGCATGCATGCATGCTTCCTGTCTTGCACCGCAGGGGTCTGGCTGTGCAGAGTAAAGCCCAGAGTCGAAGACAAACTATTAAGCAAGTTAATTGAGGAATATTAATTGAAAAGATTAAAATTACTTTCAACTTTTCAATTTGTGCACAAAGGGTGCAGCTCATCGCAGCAGCAGGAAAAGCAGCTGCAGCAGCGCGTGCTGCAGCACCGCGTGCACCAGCAGCAGCGCAGCTGCAGCGACAGTAGCAGCAGCAGCAGTAAGGACAGCAGCGCGAAAAGGCGCAGCAAGTGCCACAGCGAAGTGCTGCAGCAGCAGCAGCAACAGCAGCAGCTGGAATGCTCCTGATCTCCAGACAAAAGAAATTGAAATTGGAATCACGAAAGCAAAAAAAAAGAACGACTTTTGACGAGCTGGGGTGTGCGTACACCTCAGAAACCCCTCCCCAGCTGAACTGCAGAGGCGCTTCAAAGCAGCCAAGCTTAAAACAACAAAACATATTGTATTTATCTGAGTTTATATATATTATACTTGTCTTTTAAATACACTTCATAATGTTATTAATATAAATATATATACATAGACATACGTATACATGAATACGTAATATATATGTGGAGACTAGAGAAGCAAGGCGCCCCCATGTGCAGCAACAGCAGCAGCAACAGCAGCAGCAGCAGCAAGAGGCTGCTGAGCAGCAGGTGAACTTGTTTTGCATTCTTTTCATTAAACGTCAAAAAGACAAATTTGGTTTTATTTATTTGCTGCAAATTTATTTTAAATTATTCCTCAAGAGGAAAGCCGCTGGCCGGCTTTGCCGGGGTTTTATTTGCTGCCTTTTCGCGGCAGCGCTTCGACTTCACGGACGCGCACAGCTGGTGCTGCTGCAGCTGGTGCTGCTGCAGCTGCTGCTGCGGCAGCAGCAGCAGCTGCTGCGGCTGCCTCTGCCGCTGGGGAAGCAGGCAGGAGCCCACATGTGCAGCATCGCCAGCTGCTGCTGCTGCTGCTGCTGCTGGCTCCTCCTTTATTGCTTGAAAGCCTGTCGGCAATGCAGCAGCAACAGCGTCCGGTGCAGCAGCAGCTGCAGCAGCAGGTGCTGCAGCAGCAGGAATGTCCTCCACAAGAGGCTCTTTAACCCTTCTAAACCGACTGACTACAGTCCTCGCTGGTCTGCTGCTGCTGCTGCTGCTGCTGCTGCTGTCCAGTGCGAAGCGCTCAGGGGCTGCGGGGGTCCGCACATCTGCTTGTTTCACTGCAGCAGCAGCAGCA